CCCCAAAACCCCAAAACCCCAAAACCCCACGAGAATATATGCAAAAAATTTAGTGAATAGCTCAAATAAGGCATTATATTATTTGTTTTATTTAAATACTAAAGCATGCCTAAGACATCTGCATCAGTTTTCTAGGTAGTCGCGAAAGACCAACTCAAAAATTTAGAGACAAACTTTTGGGTATCTCCAGTAATGGCGAGAAATTCAGTATATGCCTGCTGTATATTTTACTTTGTAAGAATCTTGAAATTTTTATTTCGATAGATGTATTCATTAGGATGCCTTCTATTTGCCTATTCTTTTGAGTTTCACGAGGGATTCAGGGGAACTAGTATTAATGAAATTATCTTTACACCTTTGCTCATTTACTCACTATTTATACTCGCAGCAGCTATGGTGAGTGTATGTACAGTTAACTCATATCATAAAAATGAATCAGTGATAGCTGTAAGATATATGATTTATTAATCACCTTTTAGTTTTATACCTTGAATATTCTGCTTTTGCTTATCTCATTAATAGCTTTTTATGTACTTAATTCAGGTTCTAGCTATTTCTAAATGATCGTTTAAGGTGATTGCGTGATAAAAGAATCTGAAATGTTTATAAAAAATTAGTACCATAAGCAGGATAAGAAACTTTTATGCTCAGAATAATGCCCTTGCAAGATAGATAATTAAGAACTCTCGTAAAAGCTTGAAAATGATAAAAATATAATTACAGACAAAATAAATGGATTTATCAATTTGCAAGGTTGTTTAAACGCATCATCAGACCGAGATAGATTATTCAATGCCAATCAAGTCAGGTATCTTGAAGAGACATTCTAATGCTCTGGGATTTGCGAATTGGGAGATCTTTATCTTTACTCAGATATTAGTAGAGGTATTCCTCAAAGGTCCTGTAACAAGGCACTCATAGATTTTTTAAAGCGTATCACAGAAATATCCAAGCTCCAATGCTTATTTATTGGAATTATTTGCGTGATAAATTCTATCAGTATCTGGATATTGCATAGTAGATATATTTTACTTGTAAGTGATGAAGATCTATTTGGAAAGGATAGTGACGGAGAAGGAGAATTCGATGATAATGCATCTTTGAGATCTGGTATGACTTCCACATTTGATAAAAGCTATATTGATTAAAAATCTTATGAGGCTCCAAAGTTATTAAATCTTGACTCAAATAAAAGACTCTAATAAAGAAGAAACTTCAATAATCTTAGATCAACGAATACATCTAATAATTTACCCTTACCTTCCATCGTAGAAAAGAAAGAATCAGAATTCCTAGATACACTGATTGCAGATATAAAAAATTTATAGGTCCAGCCAAATAATGCATTTGACTCTATAACTCCTAAATTCGGATAACAGAGTCAAAAGTGATTCAGTTGAGTAGAATAAATTTTTTAATAAATATATACATAGCGTTACAGCTTGATTGATGATATTTAATTTAATGATTAATTCTAGTTTCTAGCATTCACGGGGTTTTGGGGTTTTGGGGTTTTGGGG